CAAAGGCTTTACACCAACACCACCTGCACTTCCCAACAATAAAGAATATATATCAGTTCACTGATTTATTATATCAAATCACTGTTTCTTCTTCTCACACGCATATATCAGTTCAGTGGTTTTGTTTTCTCACACACATATGTAACTACAAAAATTAAAAGATCAAACCGAAAAATTTAACAAAATATAGATTAAAAGTTATAGCAAGTCGAAATTATTTAGCACTTTTTGTTGATGAGAAACTAGAATAGAATACGTGTTTAATGTATTCCATTGCATGTTAATTAACCAAATGTCCATAACCATGGAACAGGATGACATATTTGCAATGATAATTGATAGAAAGAACAAAATGTCCAGACAGCAGCCACCAAAAGAAAAGCAAAATAATATGCCATATTGCACTAGAATATTCATAAAGATTTCCTGTCAATATCCTTTAACATTGGACTAATCAATAACCCTTCAGAGTATCTTCTGCTTTGCCAGATCTTGCATCAGTCCAGGCTTTCGCAATCGTTCTCTTCATTTCCTCATCCCCTTCCTCGTACATATTCTGTAAATTTCACATTCGATGATCAACAGAAATAGTGGAAGTAAATAAACTGATGCTGTATATAATTTGTACATTAAACACACCTTCATTAAGTCCATGATTCCAGCCATCGGATCATGCTCTTTATCCAAACTTGGTTTCAGCTGCGCGCGCACACACAAACAAAAAAACGAGTATTTTAATTCAATTGCATAGCATGTAAATTAAATTAGTGTTAATCGGATACGGATTGCAGGCAATTACCTTGTCTCCCTTGAAGTACAAATCAGACCAATCCCCTTTAGAAGCTTTGAACAATGCGATGATGACTCTTGTAGGCTTAACTAGCAGTAGCACTTTGCACTTCTCAGGTACAATTTCCTTATTCAATTTTGGAATAGCACATCGATAGTTCTTTCCTTTGACATCATGAAATTTAATATCAAATGACATGGGTTTGAACTCTGTTTGAATTTTCTCCTGCTCAACTCCTTCTAGGGAGACGTATACCTGTCCCATAGATAAAATATTAGGCATAACATTCAGATAATACTGATTTTCCTGTGTAATGTTGGGAACTTCTGATAACAGCAATGTGGAATTCTTAAATCTTTACGAGCATCAATGTTATCACCTTGACTTTATCATTATCCTGATCCCAGCAGAACTATGAACTATAGGAGCCTTAACTGAGGTTGATATCGGAGTTGGAACTTGAGAAGCAGTAGGAAGAGCAACTGAGTTTCCATCTTCTTTCGATGTCTGCAACTGTAGAATCCATGAAAGATTCGAATCAGAATCAATTAAATCTGAATAGGCATGGTTGGATTATCTTTCAAGAAGAAGATAATAATTTAACAACAACCGTTCAAAATTTCATTTAAAACATGAAAATCGAAAGAGAAAACATAAAACAATAATAGCATTTGAGAAAAGAAAAACAATAGGGGAATAACTGAAAACCTTTTCCAAGCTGCGAATTTCAGAGGAAATTAGAGATAGAATACGTGGCCTCTTTGCAATGCTTTGAAGGTGCCTTAGTTCCTCCAAATCCGGTGCCAAATCTTCCGCCATTCTTCTCATAAACTCACTTTTCTCTCTCTCCTACCCTATTTTCAGCGTTGATAAGAAAAACTGTTAAAAAAAATCTGTTTTCCAGTGGAAATTGCTAGAGAGAGAGAGTTGAGGATTTTGAAAAATTAAAAAAAGGACAATTCTCGAGGTTTTTCCGATTGTATGATTAAATGGAAAATAGATGAGCAAATGACAAGTGTCAATGGTGTTCCGGGTTAGTCCTCTGGACTCAGTCAAATGATTTTTGGTCTCAAAAACTTGGGCTTAAAATCCCACTTATTACACGAACACTATGGAACTCGCTCATCCCATTTTCAATCTTAAGCCCAACTCCCTATACTCTCACGTGTTTTTTTGGGGTCTAATTTAGTCTTTTTATTTTTATTTATAAAATTTATTTTTGAATTAATCATTAATATGTAATATATTGACCGACTAATCTAGATCGAGTTTTACATAAACTTATTATGTGGCCGACTCTCCCAATCTAATTTGCTCCATACGTAAACATCAAGATTCGAACCATTTATATTTTTAAAGAATCTAGTATCTCATCCCTAATACACTCTTCATTTATATGAATAAAAAAAGAATAGATTGATAATAAGTTTTGATGAAAGCAATGGAAATCTCATTTTACCTCATTTTCCACTAAAAACGATATTAAATTATATATTATTAAACTGAGAAATAAAATGTGAAATTAAATCCATACAAGTGGTAATAAGTTATCCTTTACATAAAAATCCAAAACCAAGCCAACTAACATCATTGGGAGGAGTAAAATTTATTCTCTTTTGTGCTACCTATAGATGCATTAACAAATACCGTTGTCCAATGTGGCAGATTACGATTCTTTCAATGATACTTCTAAATCACATACCACTAGTTTAGGATAATATATATTTATTTAAAGAAAAGAAGAGGAGCTACTGATTCCTTAACAGAAATCTTCAGTGCGCCGACACACCCAAATAAAATAAAGCACGAGTGATTAGCAATAGGATTTCTCTGTTCGCCCTTTTTGACTTGGCCTAATCTTAGTTATTTTTAAACTTATGCTTCGCCCTAATAATTCTGCTGTCAACATCAATAAGTTTACCAGTGATTTCAGAGCTAAAATTATCTTTGATATATGGCAAATTGATACTAATAACATATATAAATATAATATTTTATCTGTTAATGAAAAATAGATTATGTTAATGAAAGCGAGTGTGTAATCAATATGACCTACAACTTCAAGGCAACAAAATGATTCATTTTATTTCCACTAAAGTCTAAAAAAAAACATGTCATTAGCTCTGAAGCTTGAATATTTTTTTGGGGGGTTCCTTTGAACCTTCTTTTTCACATCAAAAAATATTGTTTCATAGTAATAAAGATCGGATAATTTTTTAGGGAAATTTGTGAGTGGAAGGTCTTTATTGTGGGGTGCATGTGCAACAAGTTTGGTGATGTAGGGGATGAGAAGACCGTTCTCAACAAAGATTATATTAACTGAGGATGAGCTTGCATTGTCTCATCTCTATAGAGAAAAGAAAAGATAGCCCATCTTGAAAAGCTTCTTTGCGGAAAAAAAGGATGGCATATTATCAATGCTGACGGTCATTCGGCCACAGGGAATAAAGCAAGGCCCTCGCCCAATTTCAGGCTCGGGACAGATAAAGCTCCAAACAGGACCTTAAACTATTCATTTGCCCCATATATTCTTTTCTAAACTTTTTATGTTATCAAGTTTTTAAGGTAGAATTATAAAATTCATCATTCAACTTTATCTTCATTTTTATTTTGATCATTAAAATGTTAAAATATTCAATTTGACCATTGAATTTTTAAATTGTCCCTATTTTAACCTCTTTATCTGTAAATAATTAATGACAACATCATATGACAAACAATGAAACAATATCAAAATGATATCATTTTATAAAAGTAAAAATTACACTAACACGAAGTTATTTAGAATCATATAAAATTTAAATTTTCTCAATTTTCCCTCTTTCCGTCTTTTGTCTTCTTTTTTATCCTTTCATTTTCTCTTCATCTATCTAAATTTTGGTCATCATTCGCCATGGTCACCCACCACGCCGATCATTGTTAGTTGTCATGGTCTCTCGTTTTTTCATCTTGAACGTGAATATAGTGTCTGTTTAATCAGAAAACACTCAACATTCCACAAATATAATATCATTGTTTCTATTCTCTTGTGAAATTGCCATTTTTTATGGTATTGGATGGTCAAACTATTTATCAAGAGCTTCCCTTGAATATCTTAGATACTTTCTATATATTAGATTTCATAAAAAAAATCTTTCAAGCGCTATGAAATATCACTTAAACTTTTACATTTATTGTTATCTTATTTACTATTTTGACCGACATATCGTGTCTCATCTAATATGGCGTTCTCCTTATTAGGTGAGACTCTTCTACTATTGTGTTTAGAAGAAAAATGAGACTTTATCCATCAAAAATGAGAAAATTCGAAACTTTTTCTTCATTTCCCTTCCTTTTCATGATAGTTTCTTGGATTCTCTTTTGTAATTAAGGGTTGATGACTATGATAGTAGGTTGAGGTTTAGGGACTAAGTGATGGTGGTAGAGATTGATTTTTGGTCGTAGGCAACTAGTTTGGTTGTTGGTTGGTGGTAAACTCAACTGGTATAAGTGACGAAAATTTGTTAGGGTTTGGTGGAGTTGATGTTGAAGGTGGTGAAGAAGGGGTTGTGGGTAGAGAGGGTAGTGGTTGTTTGTTTAGTTTTTAGGGTGAAATGAAGGTCAAATCTAGGCTCAACTGATCAAAATTGAACAACTTAAAAATTTTAGAGTGTAATAATTATTGATGATGGCAATTGACATTGTAGTCAATCACAAGGAGCGGTTTGAAAAAAAATATTAAAATAAGTTATGTCACTGATCGATATTTGAGAAAAAGAATGACAAAAAAAAGTTAATGCTTAAAGTTAATTAATTAAATTAAAATAAATTTTAATAACCAAAATAAGAGTGATAAGAAAATTGACAAAATTTGTTATTTTACATTTTATATATATAAGAACAGAACAGTAGTGAATTACACGTCCAAAAGTGAAAGAACAGCTTTTCTTTGCGACGAAACAAAAATTTATTTATTGAATTTTCTCTAACAATATTAAATATACTTTTTTTTACATCAATGGCAGAATAATTCTTCTATAATATCCTTACACTGCTACAATGAAAAGAAACACAATGACTAGCTATCTAGTGTTTTCTTTTTCTTCTTAAATATACCTCATTGATCTTCAACATGATCAACAAAAGAAAATCAACACATTCCACAATAGGGTATGTTCTGAAATGATTCCCATCTGATCATATTGATGGTTGGTTTGATCCTTTTTTGTTAAACTTGTATGTTGAAAGGGTTGCTCATGATACCATCATCGGCTATGTAGAAAGTTTCTCAGTTTGTTGAGTTAGCTCGTGAAAAGATTGGGGTTACCTTTGGTCTTTTCTGTTCTTTCAGGAATGATAGATGACCTAAAAAGGGAAAACCCCAATTCTTATTTCCTTACCAAATGTAATAATTTGCATTCGGGTGAAGTCACCGTTTTGTTTATTGTCTTCTCATAAAAACTTGGACAATAAGAAAACAAACAAACATCCAGTTCACCAAGCTTTGGTATTCCACCTTTGAGGCCTGTTCCAAAATAAATATCGATTTAAAGAGAGCGCAAAAAAAAAAAAAAAGGAAGGAGATAACTGAACCTTTTGAATAGCCTCTGCTATACAATTTGTTGATAAATTTTATTTGTTTAAATGGAATTAGAATAAAATAAACCCTATGGTTTGATTACCTTGGTGGCAGATGAAGTAAGAGAAATGGAAGCGGATGATGTTGAAGAAGGTGTTGCCAAAGCAGAGAGGCCCACATTGTAAGCAATGGTTCCATCAGGTTGAAAGAGACCGTAATTCCTTTCTGATGTCGGACCGGGCTTCAAATCTTCATTGAACAAAGCAAACAAATACACTTCCAACCTCATATTTGGTCTCAAAGGCGTCCCTTCATTACTCATCTGCCTTCTCAGCAGATTCCTGTTGTAAGCAGCCGCATTCTGGACGGTAGCGCCGACCTCATCAGCATCCCCTTTCGATGGCCACCCCGTCTCCGAAACCCTCACCTCGATCCCACCGTACCCCAACCTAGACATGGCATAAGCCACGGCGTCTACCTGCGCGTATAACATGTTGTCGTAGTGCAGCTTGGTGTAAGGGTCCACCATACCTGGGTTCTTGTTGCAAAGAGCATAGTCCAAGGATATCTTGTTCGGGGAATCCTTGTAAGCAAAATACGGGTAGGCATTGATCCAAAATGGTGAACCCGTGCTCGACAAAAACTGCAAAAACTGTGACATGACACTCGACACCTCTCCCTTGAAACTACCGGCTGAAGGAGGGTATGATTCCTCGAGAATCGCTAATGAATTGGGCGTCGAAACCTGAATGTACTTATCTAGGCCTATTTCAGCTAAAGCACCATGGATACTGACTATGGCGGGGACAAGATATCCAAGCAGAGACGTATCGTCGTCGGTGAAGATCTCGTTTCCCACGGCGATGCCGGTGATCTTGGTGGCCGGAAAATAAGGCTTGATATGGGTAGTAACCCATTGAAGTGCTTGCTGGGGATCCACTACGACGGGTAAAATTTGGTTTTCAACTGTAACGATAAGTTCAATGTTGGAGTTGACAAATGTTGTTAAAATATGAGGATTGGTGTCGTAGATTCTTGCTTTTGTGAGCTGAAGGGAGCTCAAAAGATCAAGAACCTTGTCGGGTGGAGGCAAATTGTCGCCAACTTGACCATAATTGATGCCTAAAGAGCTAACTCTATGTAAACCTGCAAAGTAATTACAAGAAATAGATTAACTTAAAACGCATTCGACAAATAAATTACTAATGATATGAAAAAAGTAGTACCAGAAAGACAGAGAGAAAATAGCAGAAAAACATGGATCATCATGCCAATTATTCTTAAAAAAATGGATTTGCAATGAAGAGAGAAAGAAGAAAGTGTTAAGGTATAGGGGAATTAAAAAAGGGAGTGAATTCTTTTCTTTGCTTGTTTGAAATTTAATTTGGAGGCAGTTGTCTGAAGAGAGGGTTTCAGCTTGCCTTGCCTTCACCGTGTTGCCTTTGTTATCTTACCACCTTAGCCTGTGTTTTTAAACCCACTTTGGGGTCTCCCAGTACTCCATGTCTTTCTTTTCAGACATGGCTTGTCTGTTTCCAACACACGTCACTTCTCCCAATTCCTTGTGGGGAGACAATGCCCCCGCCCGCTTTCTTCGGCAAAAGGAAATGGCCAAATCCCACCGTTGGTTTAGTGTAGCATTATAATTATCTACTATATTTTTCTTGTTAAAAATGAAATTATGGATGGTTACATTTAGTTAGCAAGATTTCACATGTCGAGGTAAGGCATAGCCTATGGTTGTCATTTTTTGTTTCTATTTGTTAAAAAGAAAATTTTCTAGTTGTGAGTGAAATTAATGAGGGTGATGACATATTGTATTTTAATCTAAAACAAAATCTATCCTTTAGATTCCTATATCTTTTAGGGCATAGATTATTGAAGGGCAGTCAATAACTTTTGTTTAAAAGGACAAGAAAGGCTGATTTCGTGACTCATTTTAACCAACACAACTACACTGCCCACCTTGGAGTTAAATTTACATTACTAAGCGGGTGTTTGGTTCAAGTATTGTAGGATTCCCATGGGATGAGAATCTCACATTCCCATGTTTGGATGGCCGGGAATCTCATTCCCTGTAATATTTTATTACCAATATAGATTTTTTGAGGTATATTACCGAGAATGTCATTACCTCCATTCCTTTAGGTATTGTAACATTACCGGCGTTTTGGACTAAAATGTCATTAAATTTTTATTTTTTTCAAAAACATCATTCTTCTGTCATTGAATAATAAAAATTCTACGAAGGTTAAATTACAAATTTATCTTTAAATTATTTTATATTTACAAAAAAAAATCTATAATTAAAATTTTATATGAAGTTCAGAGATTAATTTTTTTTTACCCTTTCATTAAACCTTTTTTATATTTTTAATTTTGTAAAAAATTTATATAAATATTATCAATTTAATTTTTTAAAGAAAATATATAAATATTTTACAATTTGTAATATTATACAAATATATAATAAAGACAATTTGGTCAAATATACATTCCAATAATCTTTTATTCCTTTAACCAAACACAGTAATCTTACATTCCTGCTAAACCAACCAAACACAAAATACAACATTCCCAGTAATCATATTCCCTGGTAATCTTTTATTCCCACTGATAATCTTACATTCCGTGAATCAAACGCACCCTAAGGCTTTATTCTATCCTCTCCCCTCCCCCACCCAAAAGATTAACAGGAAGCAAAAGACAGATTTATTATCAGTGGTAACTTACATATAAAACCATCACCAGTAGTTGCAATAAAAGTATAATATGATCAGGTAAAGTGCTAAAATTGCAAAGGTTTATCTTTATTATTTTAGTCTAATCATGTTTTATCAATTTTTTTTAACAATATCTACTTAAGGAAAGGGGAAGGAAGAATTTTTGTTGCTAATGAGTATTGAACCCATAATCTAAAAAAAGAAAGAAAGATATTAACCAAGAGTTTTTAACTATATACTTAAAAAATTGTTGACATATTTTTATCAAAATTAATGTAATAACTGATGTTTTGCCTTCATCGACCAATGCCTGGATATATTTATTTTATTTATCACATTCAATTGGATTTCTTAACGGAGGTTATAAATTAACAGTATTGCACCATTTATGGATGACTTTAAAGATAAGGTAATTGACGGCTGCGGTTTCTCCTTCAAATCAAGTGGAAAAGAATTGAAATCCAACTCGCGTCATTAATTTGGCAATTCGAAATTTACAACTGGAAGGGGGAAAGAAGAGATATTGTGACCAAGTTGAATAGAGTCGTAACACTGCTTTTTGGGAAGGAGACAAACAAGGTGTGTGTAACAAACAATGGTTTCAAGGCTTTTTGTATGTGGGAGAAAATGTTCTCAAAAGATGATAAATTAAACCCCCTTTGAAAAGAAGATTTGGTGAGTGGGTAAGGAATGTGTACGTAGAAATTTCCAAAGTTTAGTGTCCTTATCTTCGCTTATCCTTCTTTTCATTATCTTATTATTTTAAAAGATGCATATTTGATGTTATAAATTATTTGAATTTAATTTTAACATTTTAAAATTTTAAAATTTAATTTTTGTTTGAATTTAACATCTCTAGCGATTATAATTTATATATTCTTATATTTTGAACTCGATTTAGATTGATTATTTAGATTTAACATTAATTTGATTTTTATGTTGAATAAAGTATATTTTTTCTATTGAAAATTATATAATACTTATAATATTTAGTTTTTTTTAATTTAAGAGATAACATCTTCGACCTTTGATTAAGTAGTTGTCATCCATATTTTTTCATAGTTCTTGTTGTGTTATGATGTTATCATCAATTTTCTCTACCTTTTTTCCTCCTTTTTTTTTTGCATACTTTTTATTTTATTTAATAATTTTTTTGTTGCTCTTCAGTTCCAAGGCTTCGCCCTCACTAATCTGGACCAACTCTGTAACACCCTAGACTAGTACGACATACAATCGACCAATTTGAATGCCACACGGAACCACCGGAGTGATTAACCAAAAGTTTCTTTAATTTTTTAATCTGAAAATGATCATTTGTAAATACTCATGCTAAAATAACTCAACCACAATTTAAGTAAAATAATTTACAACCATGAGCTCCCAAAAATAACAATTCAATATAAACATACCATCATTTAAAATAAGTTATGGCTCGAATATACAAAACATGGTTTATAAATATACATGCCCTATAAAGATGAACTCTACACGTACTCTATACTAGTCTGATCTGGATCACTGCTGGCGAAAAGGTCCTCTGACTGCTCCTTAACTAACTTGTGTAAACGCTGAGCTAACTAGCCCAGTGCCACACTAACAACTAAGTCATACTAAAAGTGTCCATGTCATGCTTAAGCTAACTGATAATACTGAAATAGTGAGTACACTCATATACTGCGCTCTCTACGCTATGGCAGACATCATGGTGCGACTGAGAGTTCTGGATCTCGGAGCTCTTATACCCCTCTAGTCTACCGAGGATGATAGCCTGAAATTTCTGCATCAATCAACACATTCGACAAAAACCCCCTTGAGTGTTAGGCCTTGACTCTAGTTAGTCAGTTTAAAGTGCCTCGCGCATACCTAAGGATATCGAGACTGATTTTATACTTCGACATCATAATCTTACTAAAGGAACTCGAGTGTCCTGTTTGCTTCCCGAGCATCAATCAAGGCCAGTTTTGTATCCCCTAATTTATCTTGTTTCTAAACGTAATTAAGCATTATTCTTGTTCTCATTTAATGTTTTATCGAAACTTTACCCAATTTGAAGCATACTATAAGTCCACGACCATCCGTGTACCATTCTAAGTCTATTTGGCCCAATTCAAGCAGGGTTTCGAATCAACCTCAAGGGTTTCGAAACCTCAACAGTTTATCAACATTATGGCCAGGGGGTTTTGAAACCTCCCCAAGGGGTTTCGAAACCTTTGTAAATTTTTACCTTATGATATTAGGTTTTGAAACCAGCTAGAGGGGGTTTTAAAACCTCTTCTACAACTTGAAATTTTTATACGTTTAAACACTTCAAAACCCTCACAAAACCATCTAAACATTTTCAGTTGACCAATATAATTTATACATGATAGAATGGATCATAAATGGGCTTAAAACAAGTTAAATAACATCAAATTCTAGAATCTACCATGGATGATCATACAAGTTTACCAACTTAAATTTTTTAGCTTTAATGCATTCTAAAATCTCACAATTGGTATGAAAAGATTGTAAATATGTTACCTTGTTTCTTTAGCTTCTAGAAACTCTCTCAAATCAACCAAGGGTCAAATTTTCTTTCCATCTTGATTTTGAGCTCTCACTTACCTCCTTTACTAAACAAAGGTAAGAAAAAGGGGTTACTAAACCAACTAAGCTCTTGGATTAAAGCTAAGGATACTCTAGGTAACTTGAATATACTATAGCTAAGCTTGGATTCATGGATTCCCTCCAATCTCCACAAAACCCATTTTTGAAAATAAATTCTAAAACTTGAAATATGGAGCTTGATCGCGTGTAAATGCGTGTGATATGACACGTAAATTTATGCAAGTATACACAATCGATACAAGTAATATAGTAGTGAGTGAGTATCATCTCCACAAGTATTGGGGAATTCTTTAAAGATTACTACAACTAGGAATAAGTGTCACTAACTAATCCTAAACGCCTAAATCTAATGATATAAACAAATGAGGAAAAAACTATGGCAGATGGTATGAACAGATGGAAAAAGTTTGTTGAGGCAAGAATTGTATAAAGTGAGTAAATAATTTTTTTTCGTTGCAAGAAAAATTTGTACGAGTAAACAAATAAAAATTGCTAAGGCAAAAATTAATTGCAAGCTTAAGTAAATGAAAATTGCTAAGGCAAAAAAATGTTTGAGTTCTGAATATAATTAACAACCTCACACAATCAGACTTCTAACAGACCACTTGGGTTGGATTTGCTATGGCAAAAAAAATATTATATGCCTAGGATGAACTAAGTATGATGTGCCAATGCTGCCCGATAGGATTTACTAAAGTGTTCCTAAGCTATCTCTAGTAAGGAACATGACATAATTATTGCACGGTAATACCTCTCAGCATAAATAGTGACTTTAGCTTATCGATTGAATATTATCCCTTTTAGTCACTTGAAACCCTCTTCTTATCTCTAAGACAAATTAGAACCTCACCATCCCGGATTAGTTCCCTTGTTCACGTAGATCTAACCTAACTTTCTCGATATTATGTATCAACTCCTGGAAAAACGACCATCTAATAATAGCTCTGACAAAGACTAGGAATATTATGCCAAGGCACCAGACAATCTCTCAAAAGCTCTTACAAT